GCGTCTAGCAGCTTCGCAGCCCAGGCCGCAACGCGGTTGGCTCCGTGCACGAGAATGCTTCGCTAACGTAGAGCCAGCGATGCGCCGAGTCAAAATGCAGCTGCACGCGGCCGATGCCATTGATCGGTAGAGAAAGTGAGGCTTCACGGCATCAGTTCTCGCCGCACACAGCATACAGCCTGCACGCCGCAGCCGCTCCTTGTCCTCAAGCAAGCCCGCCTTTCGCTCCTTCTCCTCCGTCTCTCGCAAGATGGCAGTCCAGGATCGGGAGACATAAGTGCATCTTGCTGACTGTGGGACAGCCGTCAGTGCGGTGACTGCCAGGCAGCCTCCCTCTTCAACGGCCGTGAGTTCCGCCGCTTCCGTCGCCACATTCGCGAGGACTCATGTCGAGGGTTTCTGGTCTAGGTGAAGTCATCACAGCACGTCAGCACTCTGACCACTCCAGGCGTCCGTGGCGGTGGCGGAGCCCGCAGCAGCCGCGGAAGAGGAGGCAGCGATGTACATGCAAGCGCGCGCTGCAACGTGTCTTGCGGCCACGCAATCGGGAGGCCGTGGTCGTCGCCGATTTGCTGCCAAGGGAAGGCCTCCTGCACCTGACTGCTGATCCACCGAGGTGAGCACATGATGAAGGAGATCGGCAAGCAGCTCGACTACGTGCAGCGGCAGATCCAGGAGGACTCTTGGCGTTTCTCTCTCTCTCTCTCTCTCTCTGTCTCTCTCTCTCTCTCTCTCTCGCGTTCTCTTTCTTGTGCACTTTTGGACTGCTTTAGCGCTCGTGCTTCATGTGTGATTCTGGTCGGTGTGTCGCAGGCGCCCGGCTGGATCGAAAGGGCTGAGGACTTGGAGCGGCGGGGGGCGGCCAACCCTGAAGGCCTTAATTCGTCAAAGCAGATGCGCAAGAATCTGCAAGCACGGATCCGGCAGAGGACGTATGCACTCGACAGCTACCGCAGCTGGCGCTCCAAGGATGGCGGTCGTAATTCGTTTGCAGATCATGAGCTCCACTGGGTCGTCGCCATGTTTTCTCGATCCTCGAAGAAGGATCAGGAGACGGCCCAGCATGGTTTAATTCGGACGGTTCCGTCCGGAGAGGACCTCCGTGCCATCGCGGTTGCGCCAATGCCGCAACCTGTAACGGTGGCACAGGGTGCTCTGTGTACATAGATGCATGCAATACTTTTGGGGAAGGGCCGGGGAAGTTCTCTGTCGGCATATGCTCGAGTTTAGGGTTTAGAGTTTAGGGTTGAGGGTTTAGGGTTCAGGGTTTTTAGGGTTTAGGGTTGAGGGTTGAGGGTTTAGGGTTTAGGGTTTATAGGGTTTAGGGTTAATAGGGTTTAGGGTTTGGGGTTAGGGTTTTTAGGGTTTAAGGTTAATAGGGTTTAGGGTTTAGGGTGGTTTAGGGTTTATAGGGCTTGGGATAAACAGATGTCGAGGCAACAGACAGTATTGCAGTCATTCAGGGATCTGCATTACGTGCGGGGCTTTACGTGAGGTTCACTTCTATCAATATTTTCTGTATAGTTTTAGGGTTCGGGGTTGAGAGGGTTTTGCGAAGAATTTGTGAAGCAGGATGCTTGTGTTGATATAGAGTCTACGAAACAAGAATGCTATTACAACCGGGGGAACCACAGAAGAAAAGCAAGACAGATCAAACTTCCACGCGGGAGACTGAACAGACCCTACAATGAGGGACCCAAAAAAGACATAAGCATAAGCATGTTACGGGGATATCTGTACCTGATTGGGCAAAATTGGGCTTCATTATAAGGGGGTTTGTTTGGGACATCCCTAATTATCCTAATGTTGGCTTGAGTGCGTTTTGGGGCTCGATATTATAAACCCGTAAACCCGATATTCATGTGCTTTCTCGGTATGCTTAATGCCTGTTTAGGGTCTTGAGCCCTAAATCCGGGGGGACCCCGAACTCAGGAACGGGGTATCCCTACTTTTCATGGGCTTTCCTGAAAGCGGGGATGATGGGCTAAATCCAAAAACACCAAATCCTATTCCTAAAACCTAAACTCTATCCCAACCTTATGCCTTATAGTTGTTGTTTAGGTGATTCTTTGGTTCCCAGTAAGCTTGAAGCCCTGAACGACTTGCTTGGCCAGTGGGAAGTGGGAAGCCTTCAAATTCGTAAAGGATTAGGGTTTAGGGTGAATGTAGGGGCCTACATAATTACCAATACTAGATTGCAGGGTTCCTGATTATAGTTAGTATAATAAACCCCCCCAAACCCTATTCTAATTATGAAAGCCGATATAATAGGCCGACGGTTTGAACTTAGGTTTCAGGCTTGAGATTTTAGGATTTGGGTTTTGGGAAGGTTTTGAGAAAGCAAACATACCAGAGAGCAGTGGTGGCGGTAGGGTATGACGGTGTCCTGCACAGAACAGCCTTACTGTCGGTATAGACATTGAGATGTGGGTAGTTCTCCAAATTAAAGTGCTTTTTATAATCGTGAAGCGCTATATTGGGGACCTAAAGCGGGACCGTAATTTAGAGAACTACCCGTGTCATCTCCAAACCAGCCTTAATCAAGCCTGTGATCCCAACATGACCACAGCCCTAAACTCCTAGACCACTGTGAATCAAAGCCTCTTTAAGGACTTGAACCCTACCTATAGTCTCCATTGTAGTTCCTTCTTTGGGGCTACCTTATAGAACTCTTGATATATAAATGGTTAAACCAAGAAAGGGAACTGCAATCCCCAAAGAGATCTGAAGCGCCCTACATCCCAAAGCTCCTTGAGAACTCGAAGTTTTCTGCTCCTTGAGCTCCGAACACAGCCCTAAATCCTAGTGTTTTAGGATTTAGGGTGAACCCCGACACCTTGAATCCTAAAGCCCTAAAAGCCTTAAACCCCCTAAACGCTAAACCCTAAAACCCAAAAGCTCTAAAAGCCCTTAAAAGCTCTAAACACCCTAACATCCCAAAAGCTTTAAAAGCTTTACAAGCCCTAAAGGCCTTAAAATTAAAAGCCCTAAAAGCCCTAAAAGCCCCAGAGCCCTCTTCCAGGTGGGCTTGGAGGAGGGTTGGCGCGAAGACGAGGTCCGAGCTGAGACTTCCACAGTTAATGTAGGCGCCTGAATAATTAAAATATTTTAGGGTTTAGGGTTTTAGGGTTGTGGGATTTAGGGTTTAGGGTTTGGGTTTTAGGGGGATCCGTATTAAGATTATGGAATATATATGCCAACAATTACTCTGATTGTTAAGGCCTCTACGCTAATACAGCCTTTTAGGGCTGAAGAAAGGGGTCACTGTTTGGGGTTGCTCTAATGGGTATTACGTGAGCCTTTAATTTTGTAAAGCTTACCAATGCTATTCCGTAGCTCCTTATCAAAAACATGGAACAACATACCCCAAAACCCTACTTTCTTGTCAAAGCCCCTTTTGAATCCTTTTTAGAGGGTTGAGGATTTAGAGTTGTGTGTCTGTGTGTGTGCGTCTGTGTGTGTGTGTGTGCGCGTGCGTCTCTCTGTGTGTGTGTGTGTGTGTCTGTGTGTGCGTTTGCGTGTGTCTGTGTGTGTCTGTGTGTGTGTGTGCGTGGTGCATGCGCCCGAAGCCTTAATTATACCGCTCAAACAATCCTACGAAAAATTCTCCAAGTCCCAAGCAGTAACATCAAACTCTCATGAAACCCAACGAAGACCAACAAGAGCACCACTAAAACCCTTTCTGAAGCATTATTCTTGAGAGATCTCCTTGGAAAAGAGCCACGAACTCTTGACAGCTCCTCCTGCGAACGCGAAACCCGAAGCCCGAAAGTGGCGAGAAGCTTCGCTGAGAGGTGGCGATGCTCAAAGAAGCGGGATTTCAACCGTTGCGTGCGGAACCAATGGGGTCAGGGTTGAAGGGTTTCCGGGTGCTTTATTTCAAGCCTACACCCGAAAGGCGCGAAAGTTTGATGACAAGGCTGGTTAGGTGAAGGTCAAGGATGGTTGTGTCTTGAGACAGAGGGTTGCCTAGCAGTCTTGGATGAGAGCTGGAACGGATAAGCCCTGCAAGTTGAAGTGGATATGTGAATGTCTCAGGAGTGTAGGGTCGGCCTGGCCGTCACACGAGAAAGCCTTGAATCTTAAACCCCCCCAGGCCTTTGTTCCCCTATGTACAGGTTCCGGCCTGATGTTTGTTTTCTTGTACTGTGCTCACGGCTCCGCAGAGGGAGATTTATATTCGCTCCTACACCAAGGCGCTGAACCCTAGTTTAGGGTTTGCGGTTTCTTATAATCCCTAAACCCTAAAACCCTAAACCCCAAACTCCAAACCCTAAGCCCTAATCCCTAAACACCTAAACCCCATGAACCATAACATCTAACCCGAAACCCCTAGACTCAAGAGCCTCCCTCAGGGCTGATCTCCAAACCCCTGAACCCAATTTATAGCTACCTATGCTACATTGAGGGGGCTCCTTGTTATAATGATCGTCTAATATACCCCCCCCCCCC